TGGTCTTTTTAACTGGAGATGCTGGGGATTGAACCTGGGAACATCTGTATTCCAAGCAGAGGCTCTGCCACTGAGCCGAAGCCCCTCCCCGGAATTAAAAAAAAATGGTGTTCGGATGTATGGATAAGAAGTTTAAGTTACTTTCATCCCCGCTAATGAATCTCGTGTGGTACACTAGTTTGAAAGTACCTGTTCAAAACTCTAAATTATGAATGAAGAACGTGTTTTTTCATATTTTGTTGTCGTAGGCTTTGACAAAATTCTTGAAATGTGTCAACTGGCACCTCCCGCAAGAAGCCAAGCAGGCCTTGGAGCTTCTGGGCAAGTGGAAGCCGATGGACGTGGAAGACGCACTGGAGCTTTTCTCCTCTCAGTTTACCAACACCACAGTGCGCCGTTACGCAGTCGCCAGATTGCAACAAGCTGACGACGAGGTGTAGAAACGGTTTGGCTTGCCTTCAGAGTTCCCCTGGCATCTAAAATCCTTCCCCACACCCTGGGTTTCAAGTCGCATATCAATAGATCATTGGAGGGGATATATGGATCTATGTCCATGAGCTCCAGCGTTCACAGAAATCCCAAGGAAATAGAATCATAGAATGTTAGAGTTGGAAGGGACCTTGCAGGTCGTCTACTCCAACCCCCTGCACTCTGCAGGAGCATAGCTGAAAGATAGCCCTACATACCTACAACACACCCAAAAGATGGTCGTCCAGCCTCCGCTTGAGAACGTCCAGCGAAGGAGCATCCACCACTTCCCGAGGCAGACTGTTCCACTGCTCAACCACTCTTCCAGTTAGGACGTTTCTCCTAATATTTAGCCGGTATTGACTCCCTTGTCATATCCACTCATTAGATCTCATCTTGCAATCCAGAGCAAGAGAGAATAGATCTGCTCCATCTTCTACAGGACAGCCCTTCAAATACTTGAAGACTGCAGTCATGTCCCCTCTAAGCCTTCTCTTTCCCAGGCTAAACAGACCCAACTCTTTCAGCCTTTCCTCGTAAGACTTGGGATTCCAACCCTCTCACCATCCCGGTGGCCCTCCTCTGGACGCGCTCGATCCAAGTTTGCTTACAATCCAAGTTTGCTTACGATAAGTGCTGGCTGTGGGTTTAAAAAAAAAACATCAATTAAGCTTTCCCAAAGGCTAGGATGAGCCAGGCCGTCTTGCCCCTGGCTTCCAGTGGCGAGAAGAAACAACTCAGGCGTTGATGATAAGGGCTGCTAACAAGCATGAGAGACAGAAATATTCTCTTGGGAGTGGCCTAACGCCATCCTCTCACAAAACTCAGGGCAACTAAGTACCGACATGTAGCAAAGATGGTGTCCCCGTTATATGGTCTTTTCCCCACCTTCATTTCCAAGAACCTCTCTTGTCATCGCTGGTTCTGCTTTCTTTCCGGTTCCTGCCCTCCATCCCTCAGCTACCCTCCTCTCGATGAACTAGTTTAACCTTCTGCTCTTCTTCAACGTCTGGAAAGTTATCTCACTGTCCTTCTCGTTTCTGTGTCTTCCCAGGATCTTCTGATGTACCTGCTACAGCTCGTCCAGGCACTGAAATATGAAAACTTTGATGACATAAAGAACGGGTTGGAACCCACAAAGAAGGACAGCCAGGGTGCCATGTCAGAGAGCATGGCAACGTCTGGCACGACAACGGCAGAAGTAGACAGGTAGGTGAGCTCTAAATGACAAACACGGCTACCCTTTGGGATGAAGTCTGCTTTGTGAATCTCATAAGAACACCAGAAAAGCCATGCTGGATCAGGCCAATGGCCAATCCAGTCCAACATTGTATCACACAGTGGCGAAAACCCAGGTGCCATTAGGAGGCCCACCAGGGGGGCCAGAACTCTAGAAGCCCTCCCACTGTTGTGTACATCATTTTATAACAATTTTCTTTAACATTGGTATATGTTGATATCTTAATAGAGGTTATCCACAAGTATTCCCAAGATGACATAGTCACCTCCTTATTCATATTAACAGCCCATTTATTTGTTCTTTTACTGTCTCATCTTCTGTATACCATTTCAACAAGATTTTATACATATTAGAAGACATTTTTTTCCCTTTACTCTCCCATACAAATTCTATCTCATTTTTCTCTTCTCTAAAACCATAATTTTTCTTATCTATTCTAAACAGGTCTCGAATCTGTAGATAACCCAACCAAACATATATAAAATGTATCTCATCCTGTTCTTTCGTAACCCATTCTGACCCCACCTTTTTTATTAAGTCTCTGTATGGCAGCAGCTCTTCTCCTCTTTGTCTCGTATACTGTGTAATAACTTCGGCTGGCATAATCCAAAGTGGTCTTGCTTCATAAAAAAATATTTTGTATCTCGTCCATACTGCAAATAATGCTCTTCTTACAAAATGATGTTTAAAAAATTTGTCCATTTTGGTTTTTTCATACCATAAATAAGCATGCCATCCAAACCTGCAATCATGTCCTTCCAGCGCTAATAGCTTTTTGTTGTCTAAATTCACCCATTGCTCCAACCACGTCAGACAAACCGCTTCGTAATATAATCACAGGTTTGGTAGTTGTAGACCTCCTCTTTCTTTGGCATCACATAATATCTTCATTTTAATTCTTGGTTTTCTTCCTGCCCAAACAAATTTTGACACTTCTCGTTGCCATCTTTTCAAGACCTCGATTTCTTTCAATATTGGGATCGTTTGAAACAAAAACATCAACTGTGGTAAAACATTCATTTTAACCACTGAAATTCTTCCCAATAAAGATAAATTCATATTGTCCCATTTCTTGAGGTCCTGCAAAATTTTGGTCCATAACTTTTCATAGTTATTTTTATATAGGTCAGTATTTTTCATTGTCAAATCTATACCGAGATATTTAGTTTTCTTCACTACCTCACATTGCACCAATTCTTGTAAATCTGCTTGCTTGATTCTGGTCATATTTTTACATAGCATTTTGGTTTTATTTTTATTCACATAAAAACCAGCCAGCTCTCCAAATTCTGATATTCTCTTCATCAACAAGGGTAAATTGTCGTTTGGATTTTCAACAATAAACATCACGTCATCTGCAAATGCCCTGTATTTATATGCGTAGCCTCGGTGATTAAGACCTTTTATTTCAGTATCTTCTTTCACTTTCCCCAGCAGTATATCCAAAACCCAAATAAACAAAAGTGGGGAAAGCGGGCAACCCTGTCTGGTCCCTTTTTGTACTTTAAAGTGATCAGTCAATTCCTTATTTACATTCAGTTTTGCTCTTTGCTCTGTATAGATCGCTTCAATTATATCTCCAGGAACCTCTCTTGTCATCACTGGTTGTGCTTTCTTTCCGGTTCCTGCCCTCCATCCCTCAGCCACCCTCCTCTCGATGAACTAGTTTAACCTTCTGCTCTCCTCGAACTCCTGGAAAGTTATCTCACTGTCCTTCTCGTTTCTGTGTCTTCCCAGGATCTTCTGATGTACCTGCTACAGCTCGTCCAGGCACTGAAATATGAAAACTTTGATGACATAAAGAACGGGTTGGAACCCACAAAGAAGGACAGCCAGGGTGCCATGTCAGAGAGCATGGCAACGTCTGGCACGACAACGGCAGAAGTAGACAGGTAGGTGAGCTCTAAATGACAAACACGGCTACCCTTTGGGATGAAGTCTGCTTTGTGAATCTCATAAGAACACCAGAAAAGCCATGCTGGATCAGGCCAATGGCCAATCCAGTCCAACATTGTATCACACAGTGGCGAAAACCCAGGTGCCATTAGGAGGCCCACCAGGGGGGCCAGAACTCTAGAAGCCCTCCCACTGTTGCCCCCCAAGCACCAAGAATACAGAGCATCACTGCCCCAAACAGTGTTCCTTCTATACCTTGTGGCTAATAGCCACTCATGGACCTCTGCTCTTAAGAACATAAGAGAAGCCATGTTGGATCAGGCCAATGGCCCACCCAGTCCAACACTGTGTAACACAGTGGCGAAAACCCAGGTGCCATCAGGAGGTCCACCAGTGGGACCAGAACTCCTGAAGCCCTCCCACTGTTGCCCCCCAAGCACCAAGAAGACAGAGCATCACTTGCTCCAGAAAGTGTTCCCTTTATACTTTGTGGCTAATAGCCACTGATGGACCTCTTTTGTTATTATAGTCCTTTCTTGGACAGGGACTCAGGTATCTGAGTAGAGCAGTTGCTGGTTTAGGGTCATACCCTTCAAGATTTGGGGGGAGCGGGATGTCCGAAATCCAAGTTTGGGTCTCCCCGAGTTATTGCCTCTTGTCCCTTGAGCAACACCAAGCCCCGGGACACACAAATGTATTCAAATTAAGTAGGCCTTTAAAATATATATATAAACGTTTATTAAGGAATTTTAAAGGTTTCACTACGCAGTACGATCTCTATAGCTTAGCAACAGAGACGATAAATGCTTTGAATGTTTTTAATATTCAGTTCTTATGGTTTTAATGGATTTTATAGTGCACTGAATTAATTTGTTGTAAACTGCCCTGAGCCCCAGGCAAGCGGGGAAGGGCAGTTAAGAAATCTAATTTAATAAAATAACGTAAGTAAAATAATAAAGAAGCAAACTGTTCTATCTAAAAAGATAGATCAGGATGTGTAGCCACAGGGGTCATTTCCTGCAGGAGCGCACAGAAGCGGAGCTCCAGCAGTAAAGAGCCCAGGGGGCAGGCACATGCAACAAGCCCCGCCCCCTGCTCCCAGCAGCCCTCAGTCAGAGCAAGAAGCAGCCAGGTAAGCTGCAGAGCCCCCCCCCCAGCCCCCCGGTCTAAAACAGTCCAATGGCACCTTTAAGACCAAGTTTTGTTCAGGTACAAGCTCTCCCTCCTCTGTGAGGGCAGATCTGCACGTCCCGTCCCCCCAATAGCTAGCAATCCAAAACAGTCCAGTGGAGCCTGAGCGGTGGGTGTTGCCTTCTGACACGCTTCCGGTGATGGCAGGGGGTGTTGCATATGCAAATGAGTTATGCTAATGAGCTCCTGCACCTCTTTTTCTACGAAATGCCCCCTGGGTAGCCATGTTAGTCTGTCTATAGCAGTAGAAAAGAGTACGAGTCCAGGAGCAGCTTAAAGACTTAACAAAACTTGGGGCAAGGGGATGAGCTTTCGTCAGTTCACTGCTCACTTTTCAGACTCACGAGAGCTCCTCCCCTGCCACAAATTTTGCTAGTCTTTAAGGTGCTACTGGACTCTTCCTCTTTTCTACTGTTCTGATACACTGAATACCTGGTATTAGATGGCAAATCCTCGTGCTGCATAAACTCCAAGCAGTAGCATAAAGGTAGAACACTTGCTATATCCCAGGAAGTGAGACAACA